TATTTCTAATTCCTAAGCATGTGGTAAAGTTTCTAGCAGTTTTCATTGAGCTTATCGGGATATTACATTTAAAATGGCTTTTAAGAAAGGCCTTATTATCTTGGGATTTTCTGGCGGGTCTTTCTAAGCTGATGAAACTCTTGAGTGTATGTTGTTTTTGAACAAGTGTTATGAGCAGTGCCTGATGACAAAGTAATTTGAGGCAGTAACAGTTGCTACAAATTGAACTTGGGTACCTAATTTTATAAGAGCTGTTTTTTTTTTTTATTTTTCCCACAGTCCATTTTAGAGATGATGTACACTTGCAGTATTACTTTCTACATTGGAGCTCCTTAGACTTTCAGTAACTTCACATTTCTTAATTAGTGCCCTATCATGCAGCTTAAATATTTGTGCACTCATGTATGCTCATGTTTCATATAATATCCACTTATGTCACATGTCTTCTGCTATATGTCTACACTATTATTGATATAAAATGCCAGTTCAGCATTCTCAGCTAACTGCTTGGTGCTAGTGCCGGTATTCTTCCAGTAGTCACTAACATGGTCATATGAAAAATACCTGGTACCCTTCTGCTAACGCAGGTAATATTTGAGATGTGAAGGACAAGAATCACTAGGGAAGAAAAATTAATTCGTAATCACAAACAAAGTGGTTCATTTTGAGAGGAATACCATGGTTTTCATGACATAGCATTAATAATATATATAATAATAATAGTAATAGTGTCCATTAAATTCTGTACCAAGCACTGTGCCTGGGCATTTTATATGGTACAACTAATCCTAATAAGAATCTCACAAGGTGAACCTTATTATCCCCTATTTATAGATAACTGGACTGAAAATCAGAGAGATTCACTAGCATGAGTAAGCTAGATTTTGAAACCTGATCCGATTCCAAACTTTTTCTTTCCTTTCATTATTCTAAACTGAAAGATAAAAATAGTTACAAAATGATATAATGCAGTGTCTCATGGTATAATACTAGTGTCATCTTTCAAACATTCTTTATAAAGTAGTTTCTTTTTTATTACAAAAGCTATACACATTAATAATTTAAAAATTCAAATACTACAGAAAGGTACCAGGTAAAAATGAAAGCTCCCCTCCTTGCCTTCCCAGGTCCAGCCCTTTCCACCAACTCACTCACCTATTCTCAGGAGATAACCAGTATTATCTGAACTCTTTAAGAAATGATTTTTGCATGTGAAAGTATGTATTCTATTGCTCTCTTTCTCAAATAAATACGCAAAAATGGAATTAGTAAACATATAGTTCTATAGCCAGCTTTTTCCCTTTGACAGTATATCTTTGACATATTTCATATTAGTATATAGAAAGCTACCTCGTTCTTTTTAATAACTACAAAGTATTCCACCGTGTGGATGTGCCAAAATTTATTTGACCAGTCTCCTACTGGTAGACATTTAGATTGTTTCCAAATGTTTTTGCTATTAACAAACAGTACTGCATGAATATCCATTATGTGTATGTGTGTGTGTCAATAAAATCTTTACACTTGTTTCACTTAAGATAATGTTCCACCCATGTTCCTAAAAAAGACATAATTTCATTCTTTTTATGGCTAAATAGTATTCCACAGGGCATACTTATACAAGAGATTTGTAATTTTGGTAGATACTGTCAAATGATTCTCTAAAGCGGTTATACTAATTTACACTAGAACCAAAAGCAAGAGTGCCACTTTACTAATGCCCTTGTAAAAACTAGATATTGGTCTTACTAATCTATGGTGGATAGATAGGCAAAAATATATATTATTATTTTGATTCGCATTTATCAATCATTTCTGAGCTTTAAAATCTTAATACATTTGTTGGCCATTTATATTTTTTTCTTTCTATATACTTTCTATGCTAGTTTTACCTTTCATTTGTCTCTATTTTTCCTTAATAATTTGTAACTTCTCTTTGCATATTAAAGAAATTAACCTTTTATCGTGTGTTACAAAGACTTTTACCCAGTTTGACATTATTTCAATGGGATGTTTTGGTTGTTTAAGTAATTTTACTCATATGCACTCAAATACACTAGATTTTTTATCTTGTGGCTGCTGGTTTTATGTCATACTCAGGCATCACTCTGGTCAAGACTACATTTTTTAAATTCACTGTCTTTTTCCAGCACTTTTAGAGCTTCACCCATTATCTGATACATTTTTATTGTGATAAAACATACAGATCAAAATTTACTATTTTAACCATTTTATAGTTACTATTCAATGACACTAAGTACATTTACAATGTTGTGCAACCATCACCACTATTCATTTCCAAAACGTTTTAATCATCCCAAACAGAAACTCTGCACCCATTAAACAGTAACTCCTCATTCTCCCCTCTCCTGATCCCTGGGTAACAGCTATTCCACTTTCTGTCTCCAGAAATTTGCCTGTTTTTCATTCCTTTTTATGGCTATGGCTGAGTGATGGTCTTGGACAAGATCCAGGAGAATTATCTGAACTGCCATGCAGAAACTCTTGTTTTCTTCCTGACTTTCTCCCAAAGATAGTCTCTCTTTTCTGAGCCACTTGAAGCTAGGGCTGGAGTGACACAAGCTGCCCTGTAGCCACCACCACTATGACTGCGCTGGGTCAGACCTGAAGCCAGGACCACTCTGGGTCTGGCCCAAGGCCCGCTGTAACCACTCCCTGGCTACCACCTATGTTTGCCTTATGCCCTAGGGCTCTATAGTCAGGTGGTGGCAAAGCCAGATAGGCCTGTGACAATCCCTTCAGTGCAGCTAGTTCCTCTAGTTCACAAGCAGGTCCAGAGGTGACATCCAGGAGCCAGTGACTAGAGTCAAAAATCTTAGACGTCTACATGGTATTGTATTGTACTGTAGCTGAGCTGACTTTCAAACAAGACACAGTCATTCCCACTCTTCGCTTCCCTTTCCAAAGGCAGGAGGTACCTCGTCCATGGCTATCACCACCAGAGGCCTATGGGGAGCACTGCCAGACCTCCACCAATGTTTGCTTAAGACCTATAGGCTCTTCAGTCAGCTTGCGGTGAATGCTGCCTGGCCTGGGACTCACCCTTCAGGACAGTGGGCTCCACTCTGGCCCAGGGCAGGTCCAGAAGTACCATCTAAGAGCCAAGTCCTGGAATCAGGAACCCCAAGTGCCCACTTGTCGCTCTACCTCCCTGTGTCCACGCTGGTATCTAACATGCAAGACAAAGTCCCCTTTACTTTTCCCTCTGCTTTTCGTGAGTAAATGGAGTCTCACCCGAAAGCCACCACAACTGAGAATGTGCTGAGTCTCACCTGAAGCCAGCCAGTCTCAGAGTCTCACCCAATATCCTTGACATAGTACCTGAGGTATCACTGCAGGTTATTCAGGGCCCAAGGGCTCTTCAGTTAGCAGGTGATGAATACTGCCAGGTTTGGATCCTTTCTTTCAAGGCACTGGGTTCCCTCTTGGCCTAGAGTGTGTCTAGAAATAACATCTGGGAGCTAAGGCCCGAAACGAGGTCTTCACGACTCTTACTACTCTTACTGGTGCCCTATCCTGCTGTGCCCTATCTTGCTGTGTCTTCTTTGGATAAATATCTGTCAAATGCTTTGCCCATTTCTTCCCTCTCATCTCCTCAAGCAGAAGGAAGGGGCCTCTTTTGGAGCCATGAGCTGTGCAGCCTGGCTGATGTCTCCCCTCTCCACCCCCCGGCGCACACACACACACACACACACCCCACCCCTGGTACACTGTCCCTGAGCCCAGTTCAGCACTAGGACTCTCCTAGAAGCTGCAGTCCTTGTAGCCTGAACTGCCTTCCCGGTTTATTTAGGACCTCAGAATACTTTAGCCCGTGGTGCTAAGGCTTGTGGACCACTGGGATTAGTGATTCCCGTCTGGCTAGAGCTGGTTTCAATGCTCCATCCATGGGCAGGCATCAGCTGATTTTGGTCCAGTTTTGCTTTCTGCTGTAGGTATTGGTGATTCAGGAGTGTTTTTTCTACCTCTTAAGTGCCTCTTTCAGTGATATGAAGTTAAAACCAGGTACTGTGAGTGCTCACCTGATTTTTGATTCACATGAAGGTGCTTTTGTGTGTGTAGATAATTGTTAAATTAATGTCCTTGCCAGGGGAGGGGTGGGGGACAATTGGTGGAGTCTTCTATTCCACCCTCCTTCTCTGCCTCCAATCCCTCAACTTGATTTCATTTCCTTTGGATACATACCCAGTAGAGGAATTGCTGGATTAAATGGTTATTCTATGTTTAACTTTTTGAGGAACTGCCAGGCTTTCCCATGGCAGCTGCACTATTTTACATTCCCACCAGCGATGCATGAGGATTCCAATTTCTCCGCATCTTCACCAGCACTTGTTTTGTTTTGTTGTTGTTGTTGTTGTTTTGACAACAGTGATCCTAATGGATGTGAAATGGTATCTCATTGTGGTTTTGATTTGTTTTTCCCTAATTACTAATTATGTGTTAAGCATCTTTTCATGTGCTTATTGGTCATTCGTTTGTCTTCTTTGGAGAAATATCTATTCAAATGCTTTGCCCATTTCTGAATTCAATTTGGGGGGTGTTGATATGGCTTCATCTTTACAACTTAAACTTTTAATCCATTTGGAATTTATTTTTGTGTAAAGAATGAGATAGGGATCCTTGGCCAGGTGCGGTGGCTCATGCCTGTAGTCCCAGCACTTTGGGAGGCCGAGTTGGGCAGATCACAAGGTCAAGAGATCGAGACCATCCTGGCCAACATGGTGAAACCCCATCTCTACTAAAAATACAAAAATTAGCCAGGCGTGGGGGTGCATGCCTGTAGTCCCAGCTACTCGGGAGGCTAAGGCAGGAGAATCGCTTGAACCCAGGAGGTGGAGGTTGCAGTGAGCCGAGATCTCACCACTGCACTCCAGCCTGGCAACAGAGCGTGACTCCATCTCAAATAAATAAATAAATAAATAAATAAATAAAGTGAGATAGGGATCCAGCTTCATATTTTTTTTTCCAAATAGCCATTTATCCCAAGTCTTTTATTGAATACCGATTACTGATATGATATCCTACTTGGTGTCATCTTTAACTTTGAAGTCCAAGGATATCATTTTAGAAGTACAGCATAATATGGAAGTGTTTTAACACATCAAAGAAAACAATTTTATTATTCTCTAGGTAATCAAGGTTTCCCTTATTAGTTTCAGAGACAGGAATACCACACTGTATTACAATATCTATTGGACTATGCTCAATTACAAAACAACTCTAAAGTCACAGAGACTTTAACTCAAGAAGTTTATTTCTTGCTTAAGTCTGATGCAATCTGTCATCAGCTCTCTTCCCAGCAGCAATTCAGGAATCCAGTCTGCTTCCATCTTGTTGCTGCCCAAGCAGGAAGAAATGGTTTCTAGGGTTGTCAGGGCAGAAGAAGAAAAAGATGAAGGCTTTTAATTACACTGGACCAGAATTGACACATTACTTCTACTTGCATTCTCATTTGCAAGAACTAAGTTACATGATCCCAGCCTAGCTACAAGGGAAGCTAGGACACTTTGTTTTTTCCTCTGACCAAAGAGAGGAAATGGAGTGAACACATAGTGTTGCCTTTGTCACACTTACCTTATGCATTTGTAAAGTTCCTAAAATGTACAGTTTTTGTAATTCTAGCAATTTAAAATGAACTGAAGAGAAGCTCGTTTTATAGGTAAAATCTATAGCCCTTTTTAAAGAATTTTTATGATATAAATACTATCCTAATTTCATAATAGGTTTCCTTAAGTAAAAATAATCACTGCTAATATTTAATTGAATGCTTGCTGTGTGTCAGCTACCATTCTAAATGCTTTTTGTGTGTTTAATCCTCAAAACACCCTATGATGTAGGTACTAGATAAGCAAATTGAGGCATAGAGAAGTTGTCATTCACAGCTAGAAGTTGTCATACACAACTAGGCAGAATTACCTGAACAGAAGACTTATTTATATTTCATGTTGTGGATAGGAGTAAGTCATTGTTCATAAAAGTCAAAATATGGTAACAGTTAGAATGATCAAGGTTTAGGTTGTTACTGTTAGCATCAGATCTCAAGATCTTGAAATCTTTCCAAAGCATCTGGATTAAAGTCCACCCCATTCAAGGCAAAAGAAAATTATATAGTACTATCAGTTGTAATCATTATGATTAAGTGAACTTACACAATTTTAAATCATTAATTAGATCTTTTGATAAGTCTAGCAGAGATGAATTTACTGTGATGCTAATGTAGCCTAAATTTGCACAAATCCCTTCTATAACCCATTTGGCATTCTTACATATCTTGTATTTTTTCATTAAAAAGCGCCCCCAAATAGTATACGCTTGGGTTCTCACAAAACCTGGATCTACTACTATATTTTAGCACAGTTTTTTAGAGATGTAGCTCTAGCATAAAAGGTTAAAAGCATATACCTTCATGCCAGCTTGTCTGGATAAGAATCACCATGTGACTTTGCTTGTTACTTAACCTCCAAATGTTTTCATTTTCTTACATTGAAAATAAAGTATTTTTATGTGTAGCCACTAAAGTCTGTGATGCATTATCTTAGTAGTAGTCAGCTAGTGTTTTGACAGTTTCCTTAAACACTTGGAGCCAAGAAATGAAAAAGAAAAAATATGTTCTCCCAGTTTTTGCAGATTGACCCGGAGTGGTGGCACTCCTTCGACACTTAGCCAGGCCATTTACAGTTCTGCCTTAGCCTTCACTTCCTGCTCGCTCAGAGCATGAAGGTCAGCCATAGATGAATGATGAGTATTCTCAGCCTTTTTTTGACCATATGTCTACCCTGGGTATGCATGTGGCCTTCTTGATTTTCCGTTGTACACAGGAGCTTTTAAAGCCCACATTCTACCATATATATCATTTCTCAGCTTCTTCCTGCCCAGAATTTTTTGGTTTGCTTATTGCTTGTCCCAACTTTATAACCTGCCCAACTGCACTGGCTAGTATTTTTGTCTTTAAATGTGTTCAGCAATGTCACCACCAGAAAAGCCATCCCAGCTGTGGGAATGCTCCAAACTGGGTAAAACAAAAGTAAACCCTTGCATCTGTCCTTGAGGGAGCTACTGTAAAGATGAGAACACATGACCACATCTTGGAGAATAAGGTCTTCATTGCCCCCTTTGGTACTAGCAACCTGCAGCAGAAGTGCAAGCAGCCATCTTCATGGCTGCCCCTTATCTGCGGAGTGAGGAGTGGCAGGCAGGCAATTTAAAACACCACAGCACCCTCTACCCACCATGTAGCAGTTTCTTTCTTTATTAATTTTTCCCTAGTTGCTCTAAATTTTTGTGTAGATTCTAGAGTTCTGCAAAAATTGATTCTAAGAGTTTTTGTCAGCTTATAAGATGCTTTACAGAAGGACAGAACCCTGGAACTCGTTACTCTGCCATGTCACTCACCTGATCCTTTTTTTTTTTTTTTTTTTTCCTGAGAAGCAAATTGTCTTACTGGAGACCTGATCCATTTTTCATAGAGTTTCTCAAGAGTATCCAAAGCTAAGTTTTAATTAATAAAGCCATTTTAAAGGAAATACACTTTAAAAGATGCATCAGTTACACATATACACATATGTATACATATATTTATGCAATTAAAATATATAATGTAAATACAGTTTTGCTTTATGGCTTATAGATTTACAAAAATATTGATAATTGAATTTCAAAATAGAAAACTTTATCTTTGCATTTATTTGAAGTATACCAATAAGCTATTTATTTGGAACCTTATAAATGACCTTGAAGATATGTGGATTTATTTTGCTTCACCAAGAACAAAACAAAAACCCAAAAACTAAATATGGCTTTTGAATATCAGTTCATGCCTTGACATTGTTGGTATATCTGTTTGATGTGTTCACCTTTATCTGCAGAAGTTGCCATATAATTTTGGTAAATGCATGTAATAAATTGGAGGGAAGAGGGAGAGGATGAGGCACGGTGTTAATATTATAAGAAAAAATTAACAGCTTATGTGATACTGAAGTCAAGTAAATATTTAACTACTTTACAGTACTTACCATCTGCTTTTTACTTTTAGGTGATATTATAAAAGCGGCAACTGAACTGGATAGAGTGCATATTGTCGGTATCTTGGATATCTGTAATTTGGGTAATAATAAAGTGGAAGTCTATTTGCACAAAATATATAGTCCAGAGAATACTTCTTAAAAGTTAGCGAATGGAATTATTACAGATTATATGAGTGTACTGCTTTAAAGATATTCTGTCATTTTGCTGGTAATTTCAGTAACTGTTTTCAGCAAGAATATTACATGAGCTCTAAAGTTATTAAGCAGTTTTATGTTCGTCTTGTGTTTAGGGGGCTAAAACACTTCATTTTAGATTCATTATTGAAAAAGGTCATCAAAATAATTTTTGTGTATAAGGAAATTTACCTTGCTTACCTTACTAATATGACTATTATCTTGACTTGTAATAATTTATGTTCACTCTTCCATCTGTGAAGTGTACTTCATTCTAAAGCCTCAGTATAAGGCATCCTAATTTACAAGAGTAACTTTCCATGGAGATTTAACATCTTTCCAATTTTATTCACATGTAATGGGAAATTTTGAATTGTCAGTTTGAAGACTATTCTCCTAAAGTGGTCAACCTGCACTTCTCACAACCAAGGTAGTTTGTATCATTTTCAAAAGTACACATTATTAGGGTCTAGTTGCCCCCTGATCCTTAGCTTGCTCAGCTGCAAAAGAAGCATGCTAAATTAAATGGTCTTAAGGTTTTTCCACTTCATTTTGTGACTTTGTGTGGTTCGAATTTCTCAGTATTTTAACCAGCGTGTTGATGTCAAAGTCAAAGGCTGCAGTATGTCTATATTCTTGCTGTATTCATTTGTAGTTTCAGTATATGTAATGTGAGTTTAAATAGTGAAATTCCAACTGCTCATATTGAAAATGGAAAATAGTAAATATGGGAATTGATTTTATTCTGGTTGTCTATAATACTTCATTTTAAAGGTAAATGGCCACTCTGCATTTGCAAGGCCCTGTGGTTGACATCTGTGTGATTTGTTAGATGAGACAAAATGACCACTAAATGAGTTTATAGATTATTCTGTATCAAGATAAATCTGATTCCAGTTAAGCTATAAACTTGTGGAATTTCCTTGTAGCCCTATAGTTCTGTGACTTCATTTGCTATATGCTTTAAATGTGTTGGGCAGCCTATGAACCTAAAGACATACTGCAGTTTGTTCATAAATGTGTTCAGTCTTTTATTCTTTATAATTCTGTGTAAATGTTAATTAAAATAGTGGATTCCTCTCGTGTTACCGTTTTGAGTGAATTATTAAAGAAGTTAAAATGCAATAACTTTTTGGTCTTCTGTCTCATTTTGAATGAATTTGATGTGTTTCCTTCATATTTTTGGCCAAAATATATACTTAGTAAATGAGCCAAGATGATTCTTCCATATGGATTTAAAGACTGTTGTCAAACAAATCTGAACTATATTAGTTTTTTGAAAAAAATATATGCATATTTTTGAAAATCAAGCAATATCCCTAAAAGAACTCAAGTACCTCTGATGTTTTTCTAAGGTTATTGTACCTGACTTCTAGTAGCTTCAGATCTAGAAGTTGCCCCTAACGAGGTTTTAATATCTGTTTTGTAGATGGGGAACTGAAAGAGAAAGAGACTAAATGACTTAATGTAAATTAGTAAAGACAATTTAATGGTAAGGTCAAGCTTATATTCCAAAGTCTATTTCTTTAAATTCTAATTCGAGCAAAAAGTAAAATGTTTGAGGCTGGGCATGGTGGCTCACGCCTGTAATCCCAGCACTTTGGGAGGCCAAGATGAGTGGATTGCTTGAGCTTAGAAGTTCGAGACCAGCCTGGGCAACATGGTAAGACCCCTGTATCTAGAAAATAGAAAAAGTAAAATGTTTAAACAATAATACAATTTCTCTTATTATATTAGATCACTACATAATGAGCTAAAGTATTGCAGCTTATATTGAAATCTTTGAGTGTCCACTCCATGCCTAGCACTGAACACAATACAATACAAGCAAAAATAAACAAGGCACCTATTCTCATGGAACTTGAAAGTCTCATGGAGGAGAAACACATCCAAATAATTGCACAAATAAGTGAGACAAATGTGTCAATGGAAACATGTGATATATATTAGAGCTTTTTAACAAAGTGGGGGGCACTAGGAAAGTTTTTCCTGAGGAAGTGAACTTGAGGTATAAAGGACATGCAGCAAAAGATATGTTTGAGAATTGAATAAGGGCTGATATGGCTGGAGTGCAGAAAGTGAGATACAAGATGAGACAAGCAGATAGACAAGGGCTCTTACAGACTATACCGTCTTATAGGCCATGGCAAAGACTTGAGTTTAAGTTTGTATCTTTAAAGCACTGGGAAGCCATTGAAAGATTTGTGGCTAGTATATGCTGTGATTCAATTCCTGTTTTAGAATGATCACTGTCTGCTGGAAGGAGAACGGATTATAAGGAGGTTGGCAGAGACTGCTATAATAGATGTACCCTAATACCTGTTCTCTTCTTCTAGATCTCCCAATATTTATCTGGGAACAAAGCTACCTAGAATAAAGAATACCTTTCTCTGCTTCCTTTGTAGCTAAGTAGGCCGTATGACCAAGTCCTGACCAATGGGAGTCAGCATATGTGATATGTACAGTTTTGGAACCTTTTCCTCAAAGGTTAAGAGGGAATGCTTTATTTCCGTCCGCCCCCTACTTCCTGCTAGCTATAAAGTGAGCAAAATCATGAGACATTGTGGATCACGCAGAGAAGAGCAACACCCTAGGGATGGCAGAGCAACCAGCTATTAGGAGCCGAGGTCCCTGTCATTGTGGAGCTGCCATACCAGCTTTGTACACTGCTTACCACAGTTTTGGCTGTTACGTGAGACAAAAAATAAACTTCTATTTTCTTTAAGGCACTATTATTTTGAATATCCGAACAGAAGTTAAGCCTGTATTCTACAAATGCAGGAGGCAAAGGTGAAAGCAAGGAGACCAGGTAAGTAACAAATAATATTGAGAGAGGTAGATATATTCAATATAAATTTTAAAGGTAACATTAAATGCAGATTTTATTGTTACAGTTAAAACGGGCGGATCACGAGGTCAGGAGATCGAGACCATCCTGGCTAACACGGTGAAACCCCGTCTCTACTAAAAAAATACAAAAAACTAGCCGGGCGAGGTGGCGGGCGCCTGTAGTCCCAGCTACTCGGGAGGCTGAGGCAGGAGAATGGCGTGAACCCGGGAGGCGGAGCTTGCAGTGAGCTGAGATCCGGCCACTGCACTTCAGCCTGGGCGACAGAGTGAGACTCCGTCTCAAAAAAAAAAAAAAAAAAAAAAAAAAAACACAGATTTTAAAAGTAATAAGTACTTTCATTAAGGTACTTAATATTAAGTACAAGTAGTTGAAAAAGTCTAGTAATGTTAAATTTTGACAGCAATATATAGTAGTGGTTCTAAAACTTAGTTTCATATTGGTATCACCTGGAAAACTTCATAATTACTGTGCCTGAGATGCACCTCTAATTGGGGTGTGGCCTGGGCACTGGAGTAGTTAAAAGATCCCCAGGTCACCTCTGGGGACAGGGCACAGATAGCAACAAAAGCAGCAGAATCCTCTGCAGACGCAAACGACTCTGTCTGACAGCTTTGAAGAGACAAGTGGATCTCCTAACACGGAGGTTGAGATCTGAGAAGGGACAGACTGCCTGCTCAAGTGGGTCCCTGACCCCTGAGTAGCCTAACTGGGAGACATCGGGCCAGACATTGTAAGCAGTAACTGAAACCCTATAGACATTACTCTCTATCCCACCTTCCCAAGAACACCGTAAACCCAACACCACATGTTCTCACGTCATAGATGGGAACTCGCATGAGACGTCACATTGGCATCTAGGAAGGGGAACTACACACCGGGGCCATATGATGCGGGAGGGGGGAGGGGGGAGGGACTGGCAATGGGACGTTATACTGATGTAAATGACGAGTTATGGGTTGCAGCTCAGCAACTATGGCACAGTATACTATGCTAACAACCTGCCACGTTATGCACATGGACCCTACAAATGAAAGTATAATAATAATAAAT